TTTTTGGAGCGTTTATTAGAAGACATGAGAGAAAGAAGAAACGAAAGGGAACGTTTCATATTCAGTTCATGTACAGGTCGTCAAAGCCTCTCTCTCTCTCTCGCTCTCGCTCTCAACATGGAAGCGAAGCTGGCTAGGCATTTAATTCCCATGCCCTAAAATAAAAAAAAGACCATAAATTCCTAATCAAGCAAATGAAAAGTACTCAGCTGTGTAGGGATTCCAGAAATGCCCACAAGAAAAAGATCAGCCCGACATCCTCATTTCATTTTTGTGTGTGTTTTGTTTTATTCACCACCATCTCATGTGCGTGCTGCGGTGTTTATGTCCTCTCTCTCTCTCTCTCTCTCTCTTTGGTTTGAGTTGGTTTGGTCTGTTTGTTTGGACTTCTGTTGGAGTGCCCACTCTCTCTCTCTCTCTCTCTGGTGGCTTAGAGATATCATCACTGATTATCCCGAGGTAATACAGAAGTATTTCCAGTGATCTGATTGCATCAGGATTCGAACTCCTTTTTTTGTGAATTGCAAGTAACTAATCCTGATGGGCGTGGTAGTTAATCCTGATGGGCTTGGCAGGTAATCAACAGTTCACGTGTGCACTGCTTAACCACGTGGGCTTGGTAGTACGATGATGATTTCTTAGGGCCGTCATCCTTTTTCTGTGAATTGCAAGTTCTGTGGGACATCCGTTAAATGGATTGCAACAACACAGAGAAGATTTGCATGCTCCTGCACAGTAAAAGGATTGTCGGTGCAGGGGCACTCCAACAACACAGTTCACGTTTTGTTTTTGTTTTTCAAGGGTGTATCATTGGGTCACATGGGCTTGGTAGCATGTTTTTTCAACATTTTGTTTTTGCTTGTTCCCTCCCCCCTCCCCCGGTTGAAGAGGGCGTCAAGAAATGGGCCGAGGGAAAAAAAAAAAAAAAAAAGCCCGACGGCTATTTTGGCGCCGTCTCTTACCTGTCCCACTTTCAATCCTCATCATCTTCATCCTGACCAACCTTCCTTACTCTCTCTCTCTCTCTCTCTCTCTCTCTCTCTCTCTGTGTGCCAAATTCGATCTTGCGAATGGTTCTCTATTAGACCGACTCTCTCTGTCTCCCTCTCTCTCCCCCCCTCTCTCTCTCTCTCTCCCTCCCTCCCTCTCTCTCTCCCTCCCTC